AGCAGGTAAGCCGAGGCTGTCCCTGAAAAGGCAGTCAAGTAGGCGCAACGAGATGACCAATACCCTGGCTGAGGTTTTCCGTGTTTTTCCTCAGTTAAAAGGCAAATACCACGGTATAATTCAAGAGGCAAACGGCCGGCTTCCCCCAGTCACCGAGGCCTGCAGCTGAAGTGATTCCCCCCCAAAGTCGCAGGTGTCTTCAGCTGAAGCGACCTCACCCGCTCTGGGTTCTAACCCCAGAGAACCAACCAAATTCCTTTGCACAAAGGACAAGTTGACTGACGTGATAACCTCTCATCAGCAGCAACAGACCCTAGTTTGAATAGTCGAGGCTCCCGCCACAACACCCCCGTTATCGTATGCAAATTCCCGTTTCAGTTATAAGGCTCTGTTTACCATTTCCAGTAATGCGTTTCCTACGCAGGAATGGTGTTACCTAGCAAGGGACGATGTCTTACGCTAGCGCGGGACTCCGCTCTTAGCTTTTTCGTTGGTTTTTGGAATGTTCGGCGGGCAAGGTAGGATGGAATGGTTTTCACCAGGTAGAACGGGTATTTGAGAACGGTTTGTTTATAAAGGAGGCCTTTGACCACATCCAGGAAAATTTCTGTTGAACCTTTCGAGGCGGGCTAGCTGCAGCATCATGCTCTCTGGGTCAAAAACCAAACTGCTCATCACCCAGCAGCCCTCGCATGTTTACCTCCTGTAGGACCATAGTTAGTAGGATTTTCTCAAAGAGTTTGCCGACTGTGTCAAGAAGACTGATGGGTCTGTAGGAAGAGGGTAGCACGGGTCCTTCCCCAATTTTAGTATGGACACCACACAAGCATGTTTCCATGCCAGTGGGAAGTACTGCTTGCGGAGGACTGCGTTACACACTTTCATGAGAAAGGTTATCACATGCTCAGAGGAGACGCACAATCCAACACAACTGCTTGATTTGGTTATTTGCACCAGAACACTAATTAGCCTATAAGAAATACAACTGTGGTCAATAATCCTCTGTAATTGTCCTTCATATGGGTTTGAAACATGCTGACCTTTTCCATGTGTAACCTGATAGCAACATAATAGATGTAGCTACCAAAGCACGTATAATAAACATTTCCTGTCCATGGTGAAAGACAATTTTAATTCTTGAAATTAAAAAATGTACAGTGAGCTGGGCTGCACTCCATTAGTTAGAATAAAATCAGTGAGAGAGCACACACAAAATGAACTGGCAGGCTGGGTGTGATCCATGAGCTAGAGATGCCTGGTCTAATGTGAATGAGTAATACAACTATATCGTCTAGTCATAAATTTATCTCAGTATGAAAAATTCAAAATCAGGCTGCTAACACATTTTCAACTGAAGATGGCTCTCTTCTGGAATGTTGCCAGCAGGTAAGCCGAGGCTGTCCCTGAAAAGGCAGTCAAGTAGGCGCAACGAGATGACCAATACCCTGGCTGAGGTTTTCCGTGTTTTTCCTCAGTTAAAAGGCAAATACCACGGTATAATTCAAGAGGCAAACGGCCGGCTTCCCCCAGTCACCGAGGCCTGCAGCTGAAGTGATTCCCCCCCAAAGTCGCAGGTGTCTTCAGCTGAAGCGACCTCACCCGCTCTGGGTTCTAACCCCAGAGAACCAACCAAATTCCTTTGCACAAAGGACAAGTTGACTGACGTGATAACCTCTCATCAGCAGCAACAGACCCTAGTTTGAATAGTCGAGGCTCCCGCCACAACACCCCCGTTATCGTATGCAAATTCCCGTTTCAGTTATAAGGCTCTGTTTACCATTTCCAGTAATGCGTTTCCTACGCAGGAATGGTGTTACCTAGCAAGGGACGATGTCTTACGCTAGCGCGGGACTCCGCTCTTAGCTTTTTCGTTGGTTTTTGGAATGTTCGGCGGGCAAGGTAGGATGGAATGGTTTTCACCAGGTAGAACGGGTATTTGAGAACGGTTTGTTTATAAAGGAGGCCTTTGACCACATCCAGGAAAATTTCTGTTGAACCTTTCGAGGCGGGCTAGCTGCAGCATCATGCTCTCTGGGTCAAAAACCAAACTGCTCATCACCCAGCAGCCCTCGCATGTTTACCTCCTGTAGGACCATAGTTAGTAGGATTTTCTCAAAGAGTTTGCCGACTGTGTCAAGAAGACTGATGGGTCTGTAGGAAGAGGGTAGCACGGGTCCTTCCCCAATTTTAGTATGGACACCACACAAGCATGTTTCCATGCCAGTGGGAAGTACTGCTTGCGGAGGACTGCGTTACACACTTTCATGAGAAAGGTTATCACATGCTCAGAGGAGACGCACAATCCAACACAACTGCTTGATTTGGTTATTTGCACCAGAACACTAATTAGCCTATAAGAAATACAACTGTGGTCAATAATCCTCTGTAATTGTCCTTCATATGGGTTTGAAACATGCTGACCTTTTCCATGTGTAACCTGATAGCAACATAATAGATGTAGCTACCAAAGCACGTATAATAAACATTTCCTGTCCATGGTGAAAGACAATTTTAATTCTTGAAATTAAAAAATGTACAGTGAGCTGGGCTGCACTCCATTAGTTAGAATAAAATCAGTGAGAGAGCACACACAAAATGAACTGGCAGGCTGGGTGTGATCCATGAGCTAGAGATGCCTGGTCTAATGTGAATGAGTAATACAACTATATCGTCTAGTCATAAATTTATCTCAGTATGAAAAATTCAAAATCAGGCTGCTAACACATTTTCAACTGAAGATGGCTCTCTTCTGGAATGTTGCACCACATAGTCTGGTAAATACTGGCTGATGTACAGAGCAGTATACTGCCTCCATCATCAAGGCAGTCAACATCCCAGAAGACAGCCTAGAAATCCTGAAAGAATAATCAGTTTCCTCCTGGACAGATTGCACATGATCATCAGCTGTAATATGAAAAGGACGATATCTTCTGCGGTAAGATATGGCTAGATGCTGTAATACTATTTAACAATGCTTCTAACTCGATTACTAGCAAAACACGATGATTCTTGACTACGTTTACTTTTCCATGAACGTATTCCAAGGTCAGTGGAAGTCATAAACGACCTGATTTAGATTAACAAATGTAAAAGTTTCTACCAATACCCGGTGCACACCTTGTCCCTTCCATGCACGCTACATACCCCACCCATCTCATTCTTCTTGACTTAATCACCTTGACAATACTGGGGGAGGAGTACAGATTTTTAAGCTCATCATTATGCAGTTTTCTCCAGACCCCATCGTCTTCTCTCCTAGGCCCAAATATCCTCCTCAACACCCTATTCTCAAACACCTGCAATCTGTGTTCCTCCCTCAGAGTGAGAGACCGTGTTTCGCACCCATACAAAACAACACTGTAATAACACCATACACATGCAGGAGAAACCTGAAGCTGTACAGGGCATGCAGTGGTATCCATTGCCACCTACAAATGCATCATAGTTCTTACAGTAACTTTGGTCCAGTTACCTACATGGAAAAAATATCAAGAGCACCATACAACCTCGAATAATATTCACCATGTACAGGCAACTCTCAGTTTACGAACGAGTTCCATTCCAAGACGTTCATTATACGTTTTTGTTCGTTATGTGTATCTTGCATTCCTGAGCTTTTACGATATGTATCGTATACGTTAGCAGCCATTTTAAAGCATTAAAACCCTGTACTAAACATCGAATGGTCTATACAGTATGTTTTATTATAATGTATGTATGCATTATGATTTATCGTATATGATACGTAATGTAAAATAAAATAAGCAAATAATAATAATAAAACAATATATCGTACTTGTTAATTTTAATTAGAAATATAAAGTTACAAAACAGAAATAAAAAAATGAGTACTAACATAATATATGTTCCTTTGAAAGGGTTACAAAGTTCAAATAATTGGGAACAACAATAACAAATCAAAATGACACTCATGAGGAAGTTAGGAGATTAAATTCTGGAAATGCATGCTACTTCTCAGTTCAAAATACTTTGTCTTCCAGTCTGATTTCTAAGAACCTGAAAATTAAAGTATACAAAACAATAATCTTGCCTGTTGTTTTGTATGGGTGCGAAACATGGTCTCTCACTCAGATTGCAGGTGTTTGAGAATATGGTATTGAGGAGGATATTTGGGCCTAAGAGGGAAGACGATAGGGCGTGGAGAAAACTGCATAATGATGAGCTTAAAAATCTGTACTCCTCACCCAGTATTGTCAGGGTGATTAAGTCAAGAAGAATGAGATGGGCGGGGCATTTAGCAAGCATGGATGGGACAAGGTGTGCACCGGGTACTGGTTGGGAAACCTGAGGGGAAGAGACCGCTAGGGAGACCTATACGTAGATGGGAGGATAATCTCAGGCAGGATCTATGGGAGATAGGAGTCGAGGGAGACTGGATTTTGTTGGCCCAGGACAGGGTCCGGTGGAGGGCTTCAGTTAATTCGGTGATGAATGAAATGCGACGTTCGTTATAGTGAATGTTCGTAAACTGAACATTCTTTAACTGAGAGCTGCCTGTACTGTAATACTGCTTATATTGTAGAGTGCAGAGGGAAAATAAATGCTGAGAACCAAATACTAGAAATTACATTAAAATAGTCTACTGTTTGGCCTGAAGCCCTTGTCAGTCCCTTTTCCTCTTCTATTTGCAACACAAACCTGTTATAATTTTTATAACACAGATTTGGTAATTTAAATACATTCACAACAAAACAAAGTAAAATGGTGTATTATACAGATGAGTTTATGAATTCTCTTTATTGTTTCTGAAAATGTTACACATGACCTTTAAAGTTGTTTGGTACTATGTTCAACTCTTAATTCCAACAACCGCAAAGAAACAAGGACAACACACCTAACGCAAAGCAATGTTTTAACTGCCAAAACAAAAGTGACTACACAGATATAGTCAGCAGAGTGCCTTAGCTCAAGGCTAATTGGAAACATATGTATACATAAAAAACGAAAAAAAATTAAATGAGCATGAAGAACAATGGAAGTACAACTTCACTAATGAAGAATCTAAAAATTCCACTTCAGTTTTTCAAAAAAATCCACAACTAAGGCAAGACCACATTTTCAAGGGGAAAGAGAACAGCTATAAGTATTTCCTTTGTCAATTCTCCTATAATGTGTAACAAGTCAACAAAATTATCCTGACATGGGATCATTTTTAATTACACTGTAATAATTAGATAAGTACACATACAAAATGTCTACTTTTTTGCTTAGTGTTTTTAGTGATAAAGTAATTCAACATAAATAATGCACTGTTAATAATCACAACTACTATAACAAATTAATATTTTAGCACACTAAAATGATTGTACAATACAGTGTAACTTCTGAGATACAAATTTATAATTAATATCATTTATATTTAAAGTAAATTCAGTGTGACTGTATGGAAGGAGTTGAACATGGAGTGTCTCTTGCACACAGTAAGGACAAGAATAAGTCAGCTACACAAAGACCATCATAATGAACAGCACCTCCAAAGTGTCCTTTGTCAAAATCAAGAACTATTATTACTCATCCCAGCAGCCTAATTCTGTTCCACATAAACTCTTTGTTACCCCTCTAAAAAAGTTCCACCTTGATGAAATATTCTTAAAACTTTGCATACCGTGTAGTGTATTACAATATAAATAAGCACACAAACAACTATTAACACTATAAAGAAGACACTATTGCCATATGAGTTTCAACCTTAAAGGGTCATCATCAGTGGCATCAGGGAAATCAATTCATTTAATTAAATGGCTCAAACTTGATTTAGAAATTTTTTAATTAAATGAATTGATTTCCCTGATGCCACTGATGATGACCCTTTAAGGTTGAAACTCATATGGCAATAGTGTCTTCTTTATAGTGTTAATAGTTGTTTGTGTGCTTATTTATATTGATGAAATATGCTCGCACACACAAACACTCACACAGTTTTACACTGGAGATGCTTTTACATATCACTGGACACAATTACAACCATCAATTTCACTTCTTTGCCAACTCATTTGACAACCAGTCCAAACCTTCATACAAACCGTGCCCCTGGATGGCACATGTAGCCTGAATGTACCACTGCAATGAGAATAAAACAATATCAGTGATATTATGATTGAAGCACAAACCTTTAGCAACATAACAAAAATTACAGACTTTGCATGTGTCCATAATTTTGGCAGACATAAGCATATATGGATAATAATAAAATAAAATCTTAAAAGAACAGTTTATGATGAAAATGACTAGTCTTAACAAACTCGTGCTATTAATATCTATGGTCCACTGCAACAGGGACTTCATCATTTGCTCAAAACTACCATGGAAGTCATTAATAACTGCTTGATCTCCAACAAGCCTTTTGCAGTATGCTGCAACCTCTAAAAGCAGCAAAGCTGTTTTATGAGAAATATCACTTACATGACGATTACGTAGTTGGTTCAACCCCAGTTTATCTGTAAGCTCAGCAGCACTCATCGCATTTGGCAAGTCCTGTTTGTTTGCAAATAACAACAGAACTGCATCACGGAGTTCATCTTCTTGAAGCTGTGAACCACAAAATTTACATTCAAATTAAATTTACATCCACAATTAGAGACTGATTATACAGTTTCTGCAAGTGCAATGTTATAATTTGGGGTTGAGTTCCTGAATTAAAGAAAAATTATAAAGAATTAAAAAATCAATATTTTATTGCCTAAAACAAAACATAAAGCAATAAAAACTGATTACTAAACATTATATAAAAATTATTTTTTGTCTGGTAACACTAACACTACTACTAGAACTTTCCCTCTTATCAACAATTATTACTGGGTATAAACCATAAAATTGTTTAAAAACAGCAAAATCTTTCATAAAGCAGAGCATAAGGCAAACTGACACATGCTCTTCACCCGTTTTCAATGACTAACTGAAAGATGTTTCATCCTTTGTTAGCATTTTCATTAGCATGTATTCAATTTTGATTAGTACATTTCAGATGTGTGAGTTCATGTTTAAATGATGAGCCATGTGGGTATATGCTTCATTACAAAACTTTCTATGAGCAAAATTTTGTAATTCAAGGACAACTGAATTACAAGTCTTCAGTGGTAACGGATACAGTGAACTCATGTTATTCATTATTAATCACATGAATATCTATCTTTGAAAAAGCAAGAAAAATAGATATTAATTGCCTAATTTGTAGTGAAAGAATTTCAGTATTCAAGGCTTTAAATTGAAACACCATTTCAGTTCAAATTATTAAGGGGTCTGTGTCAATTTATATGTGCATGAAAAAGCAAGGGAAGTTAAGGAAATTACAACTGGAAGGAGGACAAATCTTACTCCAAAGTGTACTTCAGTTACAGAATAAACTAAAGGAAGCAGTGACTGGAGCAAGCTTTTCATGATATATAACACTACAAAGCACAATAAACCACTTTCAAACAGTGAATTTGTGAAACAATGCATGCTGGATGTAGTTGATGCAATCAGAATAAACAGAGTAGCATGTTGAAAACATTAAGTTGATCCAGGAGAACTGTACATCATATTAAATGATTGAAGGACTTGCAGACAAAACTCAGATATTCAAAACATCACTTAATATCACTGGATGACATTACTGATGTATCACAGCTTAATTACCCCTTAAAAGGGCTTAATAATCAATAAATCAGGAGTTGGGGTAGCTTAGTCAGTACAGTGACTATGGACTAAATGACCGGGGTTCAATTCCCAGCAGAAGCAGAGGATTTTTCTTCTAGCCTCTGTGTCCAGACCATTTCTAGGGCCCACCCAACCTCCTATCCAATGGGCGCTGAGGGTAAAGCACAGCTGAGGCATGACACTGACCACTCACTCCCACCTAGTGCCGAGGTTAAGAATGAGTAGGACCTATACCTACTCCTCCCCCCCCCCCCAGTCTACATGGTATGTAGTGAGAGTTTTGTCTTTTACCTTTTTCAATAATTAATAAGTCTGCATTTGTGAGTATTGTATGATTCTCAGCATAAACAGTGATTATTTTTTTAAACAGCATTAACCAAGTGATTTTAGTAATACAAAGGTAGTGTTTTCTGTTGAGGTATGGGTGGAAGTTTTAAATAGCACCTAGACAAGCTTCAAGTTAAAAGAGGTAACTGAAATTTATACAAAGTGCAAATGACAAGTTTGTTGGCATCACTAAATTACTTTCCATGGCTCTTGCAGGACTAGAGTAATATTCCTTGTTATAAGGGAAATCATTTACTTCCTGACCAATAAATCTGGTTTTATGTCATGTGTTATCACTTACTGTGACATATCAGCATTCTGATGAGATAATGAGAAGGATGAAGTATGTAAGATAAAAGTCGCTTAGAAAATTAGCAGTGAAATACTTTCATGAAGAACGTTAAGAATCTAGTATTGATTGACAGGTGTGGCATGCTACTGGAATGACTTACATAAGAAAGACAGTTTTTAAATGCTTTCATAATTGGTCTTAGAAATGCTATAATGTTAAAAGGCTTGGTGTGAAAAAGAGAAATAAAGAATTAAAGAAAAGCTATTACTTCTTTGAAAGTTCTGTATGCTAAGAAGCGCAAAAGTAAAGTTGGTGATACAAGGTTTCAATGGATAAAAATTATTACATTATTCTGCACTAACATTTATTGGAATTAACCCACTACCTTGAGTTTTAGGTGTTCTGTGGCTATACATAAAATGAAGATCATTATATGGCCACATAATGCCTGTCCACCCACTTCATTTGAAAGTTCACATTTTTCATCCATTCATCTTTACCCCTTCAAAAATTCACCTAATCATGCATCTATCACTTGCCAGTCATTTGAGAAACTTGATAATGAATTATAAAGAAACTTGGGCAGATTTTAAGCTTGTGACTTTGCACCTGATTGCTCTACTGCCATGAAAGGAAATTGCAAGCCAATATCAATATATAATAAACATGCAGAATACAAGGTAGTTAATTTCTTTACACATTTGTAATTAAAACCTTTACCATGTTCTGAAGCTCCTTCTCTGCCTCAGCAATCCTTTCCCTGTCATTAGAGTCTACTACAAAAATCAGTCCCTGAGTATTCTGAAAGTAGTGCCTCCAGAGGGGCCTGATCTTGCCTTGCCCACCAACATCCCATACAGTGAAGCATATGTTTTTGTACTCCACAGTCTCAACATTGAAACCTGCCAACACAACAAAATAAATTACAAATCAGCATGAATAAAGCACAAATCAGACACCAGAGTCAGCCTTATTAATCTGCAACTAAATAACAAAAATAGCTGACCTGATTATAAGTGACAAAAGATTTTCAAAGTAGTGTAGAAAGATGGCACAGACTTAAAATATCAATCTTACATGTGCAATAACAAGAAAAGAAGCACAGCAACACTATGCCATTCACTGACTAATCTCAGTCAATTCCAGACACCTTTTACTTTTTATGCTCGAAAAAGCTTGTTTTTGTAAGCAGAAATCCTTCAACATTGCCAAAAATTAAGTGTTCTAGCAATTTATCTTTCTTATAATATGGCTTCACTTGCAATGGCAATGGAAATGTTAACAAATGTGAACACGTAAGCACTGAAAACTACTTCAAACTGGCTGGCAAGACAACTGACTAAAAATTAGCTCAACATCAACACCAAATATCTTCTACTCAGCAGTGGGATGATTCAGTATTGCATAAATTTTAAATGAAAATATTTAAATCTTCCATTATCTTATCACATATATGATGGTGCAAGCAATAATGTAAGAGTAACAAGAACTATCCAATGCAACTAAACAAAATTACAAATTATGGCATCTATGACAAAATTACAACTGCATGAACTCCAAAATAAAATTTTTCTCATTATTTCAGTTATACTTACCGATAGTTGGAATGGTGGTAACTATTTCTCCTAGCTTCAACTTGTATAATATTGTTGTTTTCCCTGCTGCATCCAGTCCAACTAAGTGGAAAATGAAGAACTTGATATACTTAACATGATACCGAATTTTATTTGTGCTACTCAAAATACCTACACAGAATTAGGTCTGCTTGCTGAATAATTCCTGTTATGTATCACAACACTTTTGCTTCAGGTATAATACATGTTTTATACAACATGTAAACTATTATTTAAATAAAGTGGTAACATTTCGCAGTTGTTAAAACAGTCAGTGATGCGCAAACTGACACACTTCCTATATCTTTCGAAGTATATCAATAGGTTAGCAAAGAAAATGTTGAAAATGACATCCACATTACAAAACATAACTAGAAACTTGACTTTTGTTTGTCAATTTACTCTTCTCTTCACTATATTTACTACGCACTGCAACCATAAGGACAAATTGCCATGTACTAATTACTCATACTGCATGAATAAAACAATATAACCATATTATCCATGATTTATAGGGAGGCATGATAAACAAAGATTAACTAATCATGAAAAGTAAAGTCAGTTTCTGACACAACGCAAACAATTCATGTAAATTTGTATGACATGAAGCTTTCACAGCGACCAAGTATAATGAATTATTCTCTGGCTACAAGCTGTGTCAGGTGATTTAATGAAGAAAACACCAACGTTTCGAGAACCATCTTCGTATAATTTTTGTACCCCGAGGTCGATGGCGAAGATGGTTCTCGAAATGTTGGTGTTTTCTCCATTAAACCACCTGACACAACTGGTAGCCCAATAATTCATTATAACTCATGTAAATTGTTTTATACTTGTATATTTTCTTATATGTTAGGGTTTGTGTACAGACAGAGGCATTAATGGTTGAGTATGAGGTACACTTTTTATTTTTTTTAAAAAATTATAACAATTATAACTGCTTAACTGTTATGATGCAACTGAAAACTGAATGTCTTTATTCCCATAAAACAATATTCACTAATTTTATTTGTGGCTTAAAGTTTAACTACTGTGGCAACAAAACTGGCATACATTAGTAAAACTGATATTTCCTTTAACATGAAATAGCAAACTGGCTTTCTAACTCACTCCTTAACCTCAACTGCTAATGGAATCATACAGAACACAAAACATTTTTATAATACTTCGAAATTACTTTCTACCAGTATTATAACGAAAGTATAATAATTTTGGCAGTAATAACACATGTTCTTTCGCCAATTCTACTGAAATCATTACACTCACCCATCAAAATTCTCATTTGCTTCTTCCCAAAAAGCCGTGTCAAAACACTAGAAATTGTCAAACCCATGACTGTGATGGAAATGTTACTACACCACTTATAAGCTCTGGTATATATATATATTCATACACAATAAAGGTACACAATCGGAAGCAATACTCCCTCTCACACGTGCAATTCAATAAATATCACGCATCTGCCACGTCAATTTCACTTACACGTTCACCCATTGAGCTACGTCACTAGCAGAGACGGGAATGCTATTGCCACCAAGATCTAAAACATAACTGCCAACAAATCCTAATGGTGGTGTAATGAACTTTGATATCCTGCAATAATTTAATTAAATCACTAAAGAGTGCCGATGAAAGGAAGGTAGCTGAATGTAATGTCAAAATTATCTAGTCTACGACGCACTTCTACAAGCGATTCACAGCTCAGCTCTTTCCGCAATAACTAAAGCGGATTGTTGACGGCAGTAATGTAACGACAATGCCGAGTAAACACGACGTTCCCTAGGTAACCATTGTTGTCGATTTGTTGATACGGATGTTACACACTTTCGTTCCACGTTTTCCTCTCACTTTTTTGCCGAATGACCCTTCCGTATAGACGTATTTACGTCAAAAACATTAATGACATGACAAAAAGTCGTGGACACGTCGTATATTACACCTTTCCCTAACAATATGAAATAAATATAAAACAACAAGAAGTTTAAAGATGAAGATTTTTGTGTTCTGGGTTGTGTGTGCCGTGTAGTATGTTGACCAATGTTTCAGAGATGCTTATTGCCTCCATTATCAGTGTAATGATTGAGGCAGTAAGCACCTCTGAAACGTTGGTTAGTTTCCAGCATATAAATTTCCTACAACCACAGGCCCTGCCAACATAATTATATATTAATCACAGCATTATAAATTTCTTTAATTACAGTTATAGAGCAGATAAAATTGCATAAACTTTCACTTTCCTGCAAGAAGAAAATGGGCTACTAAAAACCTGATACTACAATTAAGATATTATCTGGGAAATTACCAACAGACAAAATACATGCTTTATTATGCTGTATATTTAAAAGCAGTGGTAGCATTAATTTGTAATGCTGTTACTAAAATTCATGTTTTCTAAACCATCAAATGGAAGGTCAGGGCTGGAAAGTACTAGCTCTGAGATTACATGCCACTATGTATGGCTTTTGAGCTAACTCAGATGCAAAACTCTGGAAAAATAGTCTTAGCATTTGTAACATACAAATAACAAAAACTGAAAACTTACACAATGAATGTTGGTAGCAGGTTTATCTGACAGGAGAGTCAACTGCTAAACCTAGTTGTGTATATAAGAAACACATTGTAATATGCCTTCTCCATGTTTTTAGCTATTCTTGATATTAAAAAACAATTTTTTTTAATTTGTTACTGGAATAAGACTGACAAAAGTACCACCAGAGTATGCAAAAGAATAGATTAAAATACAGATGTGCTAAGGAAAGTTGCATATGAGACCACAGAAAGCAAGAGACCCCTGCACCATGATCAGTTAACTGTGCTTAATCATTTAACATTCATAAAAGCTTCAACCAATCTTGCTTCAGATCAAAATCAGGGTCTTTTAGTTTATATACATGTTTAATTGCACTTTTTCAGTAACTCAGTTACATGTATCTGTGGTCACTTGAACTCCAAACATGAACAAACTAAATGGTGTCTGACAAAGTCTCATAAGGATTTTGTAATTGCTTAATATACAGAGAGTAACTTTAAGGTCTGTCACAAATGTAACTGCGAGCTCTACCAAAACAATAGAAAAAGGTTTCTTCCCAAGTTACAATTTTCCTTCCTCAAATTTCTGACGTGGCATCATATTTTTTCTTTGCTTCCTCTCAATGCTGGCAGTATAAATTTAATAAAAATTCCTCAAAATGTCCTACATGAGTTTTCACAAAACACCAAGTACCTCCTGTCATTTACTGCCAAACTTCATAGGGTAACGCAGACTGTGCGACAAAAATCTTCATCTTACTGCCAAAGAGTTGGTATATTGTGCATTGTAGTCATACAGCAGACTACAGTATCTGAGTGTCCTCAAAGATAAAACATTAACGAAGCATAATGCCAGGCAGATATATGATGGACAATCCACTTTCTTTTCCAGTGGGTAGTGCAGCTTTCTCCTTGGGGGTCAAGCAGCCAGGGAATGAAGTTAATCACTCACCTGAATCTAGTGCTGAGTGTAAGAATGTTATACACTTGCTTCTATTCTTTAAGTATGATGAAGCTTCATTCTTCCCTCTGTGGTAAATTTTTTCAGCTGTAAGACAATGGTTTAGGAAGAAAGTTGTGAGAATTCCTATTTACAACCGACATTTAATGAAATATTTCATATTAATTTTATTTAAGCCCGTAACAGGCCAAAAGGCCTATATTGGAAAAGAATTTTATTTTATACAAAATTAAATTACATAGTAGAATACATTTCTACAACATGAAGTACACAGTGTTTAAAGAGCCATAACCTCAGATAGATTCAACACTTATACCCTTTCATAAAACAGGAATGTGCAACAACTTACACTGGTGAGGAATCTATGAAATAATCATCTCATGACATTAATAATTTTAGGTCATGCAGTGTAGTAGTTTCGACCTACTTCAGAGGACAAAGACTCCTATGACCAATTATCTGTCTACTACAATTCACTGCAATAAACCTAGTGTTGGATTTGGTGGGAGTAGTGTCAACAATGTAATGACTACAGTCCACAGATCAGGAGAAAATCCCTGCTAGGAATTCGATATACGCACATGCGCAAGATTTCGCGGTGAGTGAAGACCGATCCTAAAAGCATTTGTTCCACAACCACTGAATGAACAACAGACGGCAGGGTTTCATGTGTTCTAATGGGTAAAGCTTTAAGATTACCTCACAGCATTGATTTAATCTAGAATATTATCGCAACACCCGCAGAACACATTAGAGGTGCACTCACTACACGCTACTCTTAACTGCTTGATGTTTTCAGTCTGTGTGTAGTAGCATAACTCTCTGGCATGTCACACTTCCCACCAATAGCAGCCCTCTAGTCCAGCTAATAAGTAACATTCCCCCTGCACTGCACCAGAAACGACTTCCCTCAGCATGGTTTTTCTTGTGATCTGTGGACAGTACACTCTGCTGGTTTTCAAGTTATACAAGAAAAATTACTTGCATAACCTGGTACAGAAACACTGCACTCTGAGAACAATGATCTATTGCAGTGATTTTCTTACTGGCAATTGTTAGATAAATAAAATATATAGAAAACCTAAAATAGATAAATGATATACAGACACACCTACTACCAAATTATCATCTTGAAATAACTGGTTCCAACAATTTATGGCTTATCTTTTATTGATTTGTGTTTGAGTCAGAATTTTTATCATCCTCAGATGATGCCACATGGCAACCACCTGCATAATCAGAAGTACCCAAAGCCACACCCAAGAGTCTACTGGAATGCAAACCAAAATTACTCACTTTTAAGCAATTAACATGTATCATCCCTGAGAATAAAGACCAAATAGTAGACACTAGTTGCAAAAAACCACAATCAAGAATTACTTTTGTATTTATTGCCTCTGGGCAAACCCATGCCAGATATCAACAACTACTTTAAAATGACTGTCTTCCATGTTGTTGCACCATGTAATATGTTAAAACTTTAGAGGTGCTTGCTGTCTCTACCATCAGGGCAATGAGTTCCACATTGCAACAACCCAGAAGACAGTCATCTTCATACTCGCTGTCATGAGAAACTGAAATCTCACCCCACCATCAGAAAATAAGTGGAAGTCACAACCTGTAAATAGTAACAGACCACAACATAGCAATGCTACAATCTTCTTTCTTCGTGTCTGCTGCACATATTTCTGACAAACACAGAAATTATGTTCAAGTCATTCAGGAGGAATTTCTCTCAATTAAACTCCTGTCATGTTCGGGTTTAAATAGCAGAAGTTTTGCATATTTTTTCAGTAATTTCTTCCAATAACACAACACATCTTTCATTTTGAGATGACTGACTACCATTTCATGACCTCTTTCAGCAATTTCTCGTGCTATATCATCATTATCAGATACAAACTCCAGCAGTTTTCTGCAAGAAATTGGTATGCATGAAATGAAATCATTACTCAACAATGTAATATTTATCCAGTTTTTCTTTCATTTAAGATTTTATACCTTAGCTGCAAGACTATAGTATAAAATATTATGTAAAAAACAATTAACCCTTTGGCTGCATATTACTTTTCCTGTTTTCCTAAAATGCTGTGTATGTAGGCCCATGTAAATAGAATTTACAAAAATTACCAACACACCAATCAAATACTCAATATTATATTTACAAAGCTCAATTTTACAATTCTGTAATTGCTTAGAATTGAGAAACGTTTCCAGAAGTGTCATATTCATGTTCAAAACATGAAACATAGCAACAATGTGACATTTAAGTATGACTTCAAATTCTTCACAATAGATGGCAGCATTATGTAGAACAACAAAATTGTGTTGTTATTCCTAGGGGAGTAAAATCAATTCCTGCATCAAATAGGGATCATTCTTTGATGTGGACAAAAGTCAAATTTCTTGGTACCACTACACAGTAATGTACAGACATTTGACTACAATCAGATGTTGCAGAAATAGGGTTAAATATTAAGAAAAATTTTACACAAACGCATCCTTAAACTAAACAAAATTTAAATACGCAAACTCTGGAAATGGAGACAACTTCAGGCCTCATTTCACAAGGTTTAGTCTATTTCTATAGGGTAAATGTTAATATAATTATAAAAGGTTCTAATGATGGTGCATTATGTTCAATATTGCTGGTTTTCTGGATGTCACCCAAGACACTACATTTCAGGAGTTGGCTCTGCTCTCATCTTGTCTTATTCTGCTGGATATGATAGAAGGAGATAATCTGAGTCCCTGGATTGGCATTAAACAATAGGCGAAGTCCAGAAAACCAGCAATATTGAACATAAATAAAAACATGCTGGGCAGGCCCTATTAGCTTCCAGTTACCAGATGAAGGCATCAGCCCATACAATGCCTCTATTTTATGCAGTGGACAGAGACTCAGGAAATTTACAGTGAAGTGCATGTACGGTGGAAGAATTTAAATGTTCTAATCTACTAGAACACTGTCATATTCTGGGTTGTAACACAATGCAATGTTGTACATAGATATCCATATTTCAGAGAGACAAGCTGCCACTTCTTCATTATTAAAGTGAGCAAGGCTACAGTGTTGATGGGTTACATAAGTAAATATAAAAGGATTGGAAAATGACACAGGAGAGATGGAACCCACTTCATGCCAGCAGAAACAATGAACAAAAATTATCCTCTTCAGGGCCCCTACAGAGGATGACTGAATCAAGAGCCATTTTTCTCTTTCCTTTCATTTCTTAAATTCTCAATTTTGGGTTCCATCGCAGTCAGGTAAATTAAATAATACAGCTTACCTAATGTCTTCTTTACTAGCACTGCTTTTGACCGGAATGTAATGAACCCACGGGTGTAAGGAAGGGTAGAAGAACTCAAACCATTCATCACCGACATGAAACACCAGTGAGCGACACAAGAAAAGATGCTTCAGACGAAAACTAGCAGCAACACCACGGAAATTGAACAGATAACGATATTTGCAATGGTCTTCTAGTGGTACTTCATCAGCTGGGACTGCATACAAAGTGTCCTGAAACAAACACTCTTATATTTTAAAATAAATCACTATATGAATGTAATAAACAACGTACTGAACCCATATCCTTGTCTGTTTATGCCATTCACTAATAAATTTGAATTACTAATGAATTATCAGTTTACATGCGAACTTGATTCTGCTTTAAAACATATTCTATAGTGAAGCACTGAAACATTTTAGAAATTAATTAAAATACCTAAGGAGGCAGCTAATTTATTTTCAATTAAATAAATTAGAAAAGGAAAGCATACAAAATCTCAAATAAAAATTATTTACAGTTAGAAATCACTCACTGCATCAGACTTCCATGCCTGGTTTTTTGTGTATTTTGCATCCACTAATTCTGGCCGATCTCTAGACAGCAGAACAAGAGAATCTCTCTCACTACTTGTTCGAGAACCACGGAAGAAAGCCACTGGTCTTTTATGTTCCCAAGGCCACCTGTCTGCTGAAGCTTTCATTGAGATACGATGTTGGTCCCAACGCCCCAAACCTTGTGGATATAACTTGATAGCAGGTCCTCCTTCCCAGAATCCCCATGCTGGGTACATGATGTCATAATAGTCACTTGTCTATAATGATAAACACTTCATACTCAGGGCTTCCCCACCCAAGTAGAAATCATTATACATATGGTTCAGAACATGGTTATTATTTTCAAAACAACAACATTAAATAAAATACACACATCACAAAATTAGTATTACTGGATTTCTGGACTTTGTCCATTATTTGGTATTCTACATTTAAATAAATAAATCAAAGTTTCTGAAACTGGATGTTTCATTCCTCAGGTGAAAATGGCATATATATGAGCAAATGTGGAATGACCTGAATTAAAGCCTCATTTCTGAGAATCAGTAACTACTAACAATTGAATCAGATATTATTTTAAGCAGTGCTTAAAAGTAATGTGAACTTTAGATTATAATTACCTTGCTGAATGAAAACACAGGCTTTGGTGGACCAAAATGCTTACTGATTTGCGGCCAGTCACGTGTGTTAATAACAAATTCCATGTCTGGGAGTTTTGGAAGCAATTTAATAATAAAGTGCTCAATTCCTGCACAGCGTGCTGGAAACATACAGTCTGCATCACGATACAGATGATGATTTATGGTTTGGTATCGGGTACCTCTGTCAAAAAGCACACATGTAGCATGATGACATTAATAAAGATAAGTACAATTTCTGAATTCTTTGAGACAAAATGTTTGTGTTCTGATCTGAAGCAAAATTCAAGCCTGAACAAGATTCCTCCACTATTACACTACACTAAACTGATATGACATGATCCAGTTCAAGTTACATAATAAACTTCAGAACAGCTAAACAATTTTATGAACATGCACATCTATTACTGAAATTTGTTTACAGTTACTGGACCTAACTTAAACTATTATAATCAACACACTCACCTTTATCTGTCACAGAACTGGGGCTTTACTTACAGTTATTAGCCCTAATACAGACCACTTTAACATAGTATACTGTAAAGATAGACCTGAACTGGAAAAACACAAAACTATTGCAAAATGATGAACAGTACATAAAACTGCCTGGGGATATTAAACTACATCATTTAACATGTATATATTTCTAATATGCATTCACAGTACTGCAGTTCAAACATTTATAAAGCAATGAGACCATTTCTTGATATATGCTTACTTGTCCTTTACAGAATTAATCATATCTTTGGTGATTCCAGACTTGAAAGGTAACAAGTCTTTTTCAATTACTGATAAATGGCAGCTGCAGTTCTCTTGTGAACAGGGCTTGTAAGCAGAAACTGCATCCTGAATTAGTTTCAAGTATTCATTTGCTTCTGGAATCAAAAATGTCCAAGTGAACAAAGACTTCTTTAATAAATTGAAATCTATTGCTATACTCTATTAAAAAATATACAATGGAATAATGCTAATGAAAGGTACGGAAGTACAAATAGAAACCAACATAGATTATTTAACAATTTACAACGCAAACAGAGGAAACTTGACAGTGCCCACTTTATTCTACTAACAAGGCATTCACCTACTGCAGAAAGAAAAATTTCAACAACAATAATAATAGATCAACACATTTTAAATAGCTTCAAGAAGAAGCACTAATTCCTCACCTGACATAACTTATATTACGCATGATACTTCTCAACTACAAGTTTCATTAGACACGAAAAATTCTCTCCTGGAAGACGACATGGAGATGATACTACAATTCAGTTCATTGCCACCGTAAAATCACTAAGAGTCAGCCACATCCCAGAGAATATATTTGAACACAGACAAATTTCTGCTGCATGCATCAAAGAACTCGCTGAGATATGACTCTCTTTCCTGTACTTTAAGATGCAAAACTGGTGCTGATTCTGGACTTCACATAAACAGGTATAAGCCTAGCCATGACAGGAACCCAACTGTGTAAAGTGCTTTACCTTTCGAATACTTCGATGTGTATTCGTCGTGCGGGCTTCTGCACTTTACGCCACTTCTTGTGGTGCAGATATTGTCAAACTCTGCAGTTACAAAAATGAAAATAAATATACAACGCATTTCACCCTAGTTCAAAATTTCCTCCTAATCATGCTTGTAAAGTAGCGCTTTCCTTTGAAGACCGGTGACGGCTTACCAACTTCTTTCAACTACAAGTAATCCATATAAACATAATTCCCTAACCTTCAATGACGTCTACTATACACAACAGATCTGTAGCAATAGATTAATTCAAACTCAGTAGCCTATCAGGTTCGCCAACATCATAGATAACCTACCCAGGCCAACACGAACAAAAACACTGCAGTAACGTAAACATACTCCGTAAAATCACGTGGCACTATTCTGAATGTGCATACTGGGTTTCCTAACTGCAGTTTAAACTACTAAATATTATTTTTATAACTACAGTCCAAGGCATTGTTAAAGAAAATATTGAATAAATTAAAATAAGTGTTTGTGATCTCTTGTCACAAACTGTTTTTTCCCTAGCAACACCTGCCTTAATCCATCCATCACCATCATTGATAAATAATACATATCGTCTATGATGATTGCTTCAAGGGGGGAGAGGTAAGGTGGGTTTTTGTATAATTTGTCACATGTGATCCCACCATATTGCTTTTTAAAACGTAATTAGCTTGCAATTAAATAATTTTAACCATAAAATATATTTAAAAAATATTGTGTTAAAATTTCTGTACAGTTCCAGCTTACAGTTATGGTGAATTCCTCTACATATATCCTAATACCTTTTAGTATGTAAGATTTGAAGTTTTCATGACGGCTGCTTCCATCAGAGCGATGATAACCCTGATTATGGGGGCAGCAAGGACCTCTGAAATGTTTGTAAACTTCTACCAGACTACATGGTGCAACAACCCAAAAGACAGCCATCTATCTTTTAGTATGTTTCTAAGATTTGCATCAAACCTCATCATTCTTAAATAATAAAATTAGTGAACGTATAACATTCATGATGGTGAACTATTACTGATAAAACCAACTGCCAATCATTACAATTGCATGAAAAAAACCCTGAATTATTTCAATTAACATTTAAGGGATTCCTTTTGACACACACACCTTCCATTCTGTCGATGAATTTATAAATCTCACATTAACAGCTGACTGGTAATGAGGTACAGAATTTCAAACTTATTGTAGAATGACTATAGAATTTATATTACAAAAAATTAAGTGAAACACATATGTCTGTGCAAATGAAGTGTATTAATTTTTTTAACTGGACTTATATTATGAAAACTTTATTTACTTATAAGCACTGCATAATCTTTATTTTTGAGACATTATCTGGCAAAAATTTGTGTTAAAAATCTATGCATGGGATTCATTTATTCATTTTGATCCACTCTTTAAGAGAGCAAGCCAAAGGTACCATCACTGTGTTTTCCCTGCTAATGTGCTACTATTCGGATAACCTGAGTAACCAGATAGCCATTTTCTGTAATCTAATATGGGTCCACCATATTTACTGTTCTAATACCTACGCCCACTTATCAATTATCCTAGTTTAATATAAACCAACATCCATCCATAATTCTAAATACATGCATATGTTTTCTACTGTGTTTATTTAACAGGTTATCTTTCATGCCATGTAAGAGTCCAGGAGACAGAAATACTAAAGAGTTTACAAGACACCCACAGAGAAACACACTTATAAGCCAAGTCTGAGCAACAAATAAATAGTTATATTCACATTATTATCAATATTTACTGCCACAAAGCTATTTTACTGGTTATATGTCACATCAGATTATTGTTTGCTTTAATTTAAACATTATGTTACAAATCACTGTTGTGAAGTTTATAACACAAAAGTGGAGGTCTTTTGTATTACCTGTTTCATGAAGCTATTTGGCAAAACCCTCATCTTGTCCACTTCATGCAGATACTGATTTACACTACCAGTAATGCACAACACAGAACATAAGCTGTACAGTTTCTAACAGATTATCAAAATGTTATTTTGCATCACACATTGTAATGTGAAGAAATGTGTAGCATGGCAGATGTTAACAACTATTTATTTGTATATACAACACAATTTCAAGTAAGTTCTGTTTCAAAATGGATGGCATAACTATAGTAATACTCCCAGTGCTGTTTCATTTCCTCACATAAGCACAACATTTTCAAAACTGCTCTAAGTCAGGAATTTACTCACAATATTGTGAAGTACGTTTATAATTATGCACATGAATTGTGTATGCCCTCCAAAAAGTTGGGTACATATTAGTTTTACTCTTATCAATTTCTTTCATTTTTTATTAACAAAACTTAGTGGTCTTCCACAACACAAATACGTGATACTTGAAATGTGAGATGCCTGTACTCTTGGAAAACCACTGTTTATACTGTCATGTGAATTGTTAGTCATTACAATCATTAACGCAATAAATGATTGTCATACAAATGTATCAACATTGTTCAAAGCCTGGACATGTAATGAAATTGTTAATTTATGACACAATGGCTCTTACTTTTAAAGCAGATGAATCTTGTAACAGGTAATGTGTGAATATACAAAAATATCCTGTGCTTGAAATAAGAGGAAATGAGAAATGGAAGATGAAAAATATCCTGTAGCTCAGTCAGGAGTCGCTATCTAATGATGATAAATGTGGGTTTGAGTTCCACCTTGATAAATTTTCATCATGTCAAATTCTCTGAAAAAAGACAGGTTCAAGAACAGGATCTTTCCTCATAATTTAAAATAAGTACATTAATATAATTACAGATCCATTTTAAGAGAGATGCAATCAAGCCACAATCATGCTGTCTACTAACAGAGATTTACATCTTTCTCGAGTACCATATTCAACAATTGCAGTGGAGCAGATGCTGTCTTGCTACTTTTCAGGAGGGAGCAAAACCATACTACTACATTTTGCATGACTTTAATGCATCCCTATAAATCTGTAACTGTTTATGACTATACCTATCTTGCAAACTTTTTTTTTCTTTTCACACTATTACAATTTTCTTTCAGTTTACATAATTTCTACCTCTTTCTTGCATTTTGAGCCCACCAATACCACAGTGAACTAAAGTAAGTCAAGGTATTTTCATTGTAATTTCAGATTAATATAACTGATACCTAAGGCCCACCATTCGACATGATTCTGAACTTGTTCCATTCAGCTCTCTTTATCACAACCCATTTCACAGTGTCCATGTTGGTTTTCTGGGTCATGAGGCTATGTTTTGGGGAACATACTATCTCTATCTTCAATGAAGATGGATGCAGTATGTTCCTCCAAAACACTGGTACTACTCTACAAGTCTACAGTGTCACAAACTAGAAACCCACAATGGACATCTTCACAACTATGAAAATCTCATATGTCATCATTTCCCAAAGATGTTTTAATATTAACCTCTCATCTTCTTCTTTTCCAAATGTTTTCTCCATTAAATTCCTGTTTGAATTCCTTCTGCTCACTCATCATAGCTCCATAATTCCTCTTTATATAATGTTTATGCAGCTTTTAGTTGAAAGAAGAAAGCACAAAATATTTCTGTAGTATATCTACATATATAAGCTGTACTTTTCTCCTATTTAAAACATGACTGTGTCCTGAGATTTCATTTCATTTTTTAGATTGATTTACTTTCATATCTAAACAGTCATTACTACACAAGACTTATTCTTAATATACTATTTACCAAAGAACAGATTAAACTTCAGATTAGTATCAAATAGGTACGTTGTGATTATTATATACCCATGAGCTGCAGTTCAGCCAGACTCAACCATTTTTGATGGAACCATACTTGCCAGTTATTATTTCTGTTAATTATTCCACCTGTCTTGATGGTGGGTCTTCCAGGTTATGACGATGTATGGATCTGAAGATTGATACCAATATTTTGAAGGAACATACAGCCTCCATCTGAGAAGTATTATAGAGTGAACAGTTTACTTAGGGTTAGAAGAATCAGGACCAGGTTAAGAGATTAGCCAAATGAATGTGACAAGACCTCCTCATGATGCTCACTTAATTTCTGGTCCCCTAAAAGGGCCACTTTTCTCCTCTCATCCCTTGGAAGTTGGCCAATCCCTCTGACCTGGTCCTTAGCCTAACCCTCTCTATACATTAGCTCTGAAAGTGGAGTAGTATATTCCTACAAAACTTTGTTCTTCATCTACAAGCCCATAAGTATCACAACCCAGAAGACCACTAGTAATATATTCATCACCATGAGAACCTAAAATATTCCAGTTAATGTCCCCAAGTCTAATGGCATATACACAATAATTTAAATATAATACAAAAACCATATTCTACATGTCCATAGCTTAAGTGTAAGGGTTATTAAACAGATAGAGGGAAATGTTCCAACTTTTAAGAATTAAATTTACATTTCAAGACAATGCATTTGGAAGTAAGAAACCTGACTGTAGAACCTCTTAGCCTTGTATGTTATAAAAATTTCATGTTATGGAGTGTTGAATGCTTTGTTGATCTAATCATAATGCTTCATATATTTTAATGTTCATTTCTGCTACAAGGATACCATTGTGTTTGGAAGTATAACTTCAAAATAAATTTTACATTACTGTGCTGAATGATATGGTATTTATGATATAAATTAAATTCTGCATACAACTTCAAAATATGAATATAAGAAAACAGTGACAGAAGTAATTTGTTTTCAATATGAAGCTGAGGGTTTTAGGTTAATTTTGTTCTGAATTACATCCAGCACAATAATGATGAAATCACTTGTTTCTAAACTGAAATGTACATACAGTTCTCTGTTGTTGTCCTTTCACCAAAAGACTAGAAGGGATACATTAAAAAAAATAGACACAAAATATCTCAGCAAAGGCCAAAACAAGAGTAGATGTTGACATATTCATCCATATAGCCATTCTACCTTTCAGAACCCTTGTTATTGTTAAATGTTCTGACTCGTTCTTTCACCAGTTTCATGTTTTATTTTAGTACATTTTGCTGAAGTTTATAATACAACTTAATGATCTGGAGGCTGTTGAATTTTTCTCGTAAGAAATCATACTATAAGGCTGTGCATCACTGTATCAGAATAACACACAATTCAACTGGAAGGCATACATGGGTAGATCCATTTGCATTAATAAAGAGCATGATCTTACCTTGTACATAATTTTATAATCCTGAATAATGTAAAAGAAAGGTATGAAAGTGTTGTGACCAACTATGCACATCACATGTGATATTTTTTCATTGGAGACATTTAATAAAAAGTGACAGAATAAAGATTTACACATTCTTATGACAACTTTTTTAATAATTTCCTAAGTCTTTCAATTTAGTATTGCAGTTTTTAAGACCACAAGTTATTTGTTGCTATAGACATCAGTCTCATGGTTCCAGAAATTAAGTTTTTATTTCATGTAACAATTGAGCAATGAAGTTCCAACATTTCTATCAAGAAATCAGCAAATGTAAAGTAGTCTAGATAAAATACCTCAGAATGTCTGTAACAAATTACTTCATGCAGGCTGTAACATAAACTAAACTAAAGGTATTAACATAAAATTTTCAATCATGGTCAAATGAATATGCAATTAGAGTTTAATTCCCCAGCTGTAAAGGGCCAAGTCAATAAGAAAACTGAAAACATTAAGAAAGTAAAATCCAAGTTTGTACTCAGACATCTGTATGTTGGTGCATATTTTAGTTTGCCTGCCCAATAAACTAGTACAACTAATTCTGGACCAACAATGAAAACATTTAACCTAGAAATGTCAATGTGACCCACTGCAATTACCTGTATATTCTGTTCACAATCCTAATGTGTGGAGACATACATACAAATGAAATGACATGACTGGCCTGCCCATGTTCACTGTCTTCCCAGCAGCTACACAGAACTCAAAACTTTAAAATGATATGTTAACAAGATGACTTGGTGCATTTGTCACACTTCATTGTCCATCCAATATAATTAATTAAGGACTTAAAGTCTTACATGTCACCTATTAGATACAGGCATTTGACAGCATTGTTTTTAAGGGATCAAGTTTCAACATCTGCCTGCTATCTGTTAAATATTTAGTACATGAAGAAATACTGTTTGGGACTCAACTTTGTGACTACAGAAGCTGTGGAAATGTGGAAGAATTGTGCCTGGCTTCCATTCCTTACAGAGCCGCAAAGCCGAGTCCCAAACAGTTTTTTAATCAAAAACATTTATGGAACATCATAATCTATGGAGTTATTTTATTTTCTGATATGGATCTTGACCTAGGAGTTTTAACTAAGTCCACCCACAGAACTACACAGTGTCACAACCCAGAAGAATGCAATCAAGAATAATGTCAATGATACAGTCTTTTTAACAGATCTTCAGCTGGCCACTTCAACATTATGGTATTCATTTTGAAAGGCATAATTTCCAATTATAAAACCACCAAATGGGGCTCTTGTGAGCATGATTAGTTAAGCAGCTATTAGTTTCTCAAGGACTCTGCTTCATGGAGTTAGTCCATTAATAACCTCAAATTTGAAAGTCTCAAGTAAACTTTAATAAACAAGCAATTTACTTATCACCATGCAAATGCACACGATATGCAACTTCAAAGTCGCAAGTACATTTTAATAAATAAGCAAGTTATTGATCACCATGCAAGTGCATACACGATATGCAACTTACACTAGTCACCTGTCTGTCATAATGTAGAAGTGTAATAATTTTTTGTGTACACAGATGTTAGGTGTAATAAGCAATTTATCAGACACTTTAAAATTACTGGTTTGAAATTTGAAACCTATGAGGTACGGTTCTTTTGTGAACAACAGGCAATGGACACTTGACATATTTATAGCTGAAACAGAATAAAACATTGAGTACATTCTTATCCTTTGCACCTATTTTAACAGGCCATATTCTCTGTTAATATTTCCATACTGACCTGGAATGGGATTACCTGCTAGAAGCAATAATGGTGGTAATGATTAATAAAAATTACTAGCATAAAAACGTACAATAATCAAAATAATTTTTTAATCATTTGGTAGAAGGCCTGTTTCTGCCCTGTGCACAAAGATAATTTTATTGCAAAGATTAAAAAACATAATTTTCCACTTTTGTTGCTCCAATCACATGGACCTAATAAAATGTAGGGTTTCTGGTCACAACTGTGGTAAAATTGTCTCAGATCTGATAAATCAGTAGGCTAATATTCAACATTATCTCTAACTAGTGGAAGAAGCCTGTTTAAATTCAATACGGAATGATTTTTCATGACTTCAGACCTCACTTTTTGTTCAATGAAAAAACTGTTTCTGTTAAGAACTTAAATTTGGAGAAGAGTAATGTTACCCAAGGTACTTATCTTATGATATTTTCATGTGAGACGAACATATTTTCTTGGAGATGTATAACTCAAATAAAAAAATAAATCATTTTCTACTGCTGCCTACAATACTAACTACCAGTATATGAACATAGTTCACCTAAAGTGTAATTAATGTTTACAAAACTCCACTATTTCATTTGAATGTCACATACTGACATACTTATATATTTCATATTTCACTTATAAATGAAGCATTTAGTATAAAGTGTGTAATAACAAAAAATATAAAAATACATTTTATCATTTCACTTAGCAAAGACCCCCCAAACATTTTGGTGACAAAATAATGTGAAATTAATAATTTTTAGCACATATGGAATCATTTTTAAAAGAAATTTAATAAGTTACAAACAGTTTTAAAATCTTTCCCTCAAATTTATATGAATGGAGGTAGTACATACATTTTTCACCAAACTCTTCTTCAATTCTGTAACTTTCAATTAAAAACACAAATCTGTTATTCAGTTTGAACCAATTTGTAAAGAAATTAAGAGACCTCAAATGAAACTTAAATAGCAATTAGTGGTAAATAATTTTATACCAGCCTTATTATGTACACAATAAGACAGGGTGACAAACATGATGCTCATATATAAATATCAGTGTTTACAGAACTGCAGCAGAAATATAATCTGAAATTAACATGCTAGTCTCTGTTATTATATGCAAATGAAATAATTACAAGATAACTCAGATGAAGTCTAAAGGTTTCTGACAATGGTGTTATAATCTGTAAAAAAGGTTTTTTGGACTTTGACTATCATGCAAATTACAAACAGAAATAAAAATACAACACTTTGGAAGCTGGATATTCTTGTCTTCAGGCAAAAAGGAAAGGACAGAAACCCTCGCTGTTGGGCCCCCTTGATGAAGCAGCCTCAGATCTGGATCCAGCTTTTTAAACATCCTATTTTTATTTCTATTTGCACTTTAGGTGATGGATGAAATCGAAAAATACATTTTTACAAAGATAACTAAAATTAAGTATAAAAGAAAATCTCATATCAATGCCTTCCAGTGTGTTGCACATTATTTTCACAACCAAATATCTTTAACAATTACAGAAACAAGTCAGATACAAGTAAGAAATCATGACAATGGTTCCAGATACAAACTAAATTTACTGTCCTGCAGAAGTGAAAAACTGGCACACATCAAGACCAATTCATAACAAATACACTGAAACTTCAACCACATTCATGTATACAATGCTGCATCATGCATAAAATCCACATCTATCTTGACTTCTCACCCAAAACATGGAGTTTACAAAAATATAATTTTTGGTACATACATATAAAGAAAACAAGAAACCTGAAAGCGCAATTCATCTCTTACTGTCCATCCTGAAACAGGACTGACTGACAAACAGGAATTCATGTCTTGGTATAAGAGCCAGATTAGGGCATATAGACTGCTGTTCATAAATGAGAGGAAATAAAATAATATTATGTATCAATATTCATGTATTAAGCAGATTTCCTAAAAACCCAGTACTGTTTTAAAGGATTCTGGCTGTGGTCACATGATGCACATGATTCTGATTCAAGCATAAAGTGTACATGTATGTTTTTTCTCTGTGGACTAGCATTAATTACTTGGTCTAACTAAAGTGAACAGTAAGACAGACATAAATTAACTTCTTAAGGCTTCCACACTGTCAGAAAAAGCAACTGTAGATAGAAGGCAAGTTTTACAATTTAAGAGAATTGTAAAATATCAAAGTCAACACTGTGCAGAGGAAAACCAAACAATGGTGGCCATGCCTGCACAGAAATATGCCTAAAAGAGGGAGGAATGATATTGTCCTTGTATGTGTTCTTTTACTGTCTGTTCTGAAAACAATGTCACATAAGATTCTGTGGGATAGCACTTACTGGTATACTCAGGAAGAGTAAAATTATTTGTGAGTTACTGCAAAATACTGTAATCTGTAAGCATACACTTGTAAACATATCAAGAGCTGGAAGGGTTATGATAAAGGCAAATGCTTTTGGATTGCAGACGTCACCAAACAACTGACCTGACAGAATGGCATAATACTCTAGACCAGGGGTCCTCACCCTTTTTCACTGGTGTACCACAAATTCTAACACACTAAATGTACCACTAACCAAATGAGTTCAGGGAAAACTTATTTATGTTAATAGTATCTTTTGATTTTCTTACTTAGTTCGCGTACCACAGGTTGAGAAATGCTGCTCTAGACTATCACAATTCTCCAGACACTCCTATGGCAGTACTATTCAGACGAGGTCATTTTCAAGTACCAAAATGTGTTTCTGCACCATGGGGTCTTGATTTCCCTCTACACCTTTGCAAAGTAAATGAGGAGGGAGTGCAGATATGTTGTCATTGCCAATCATATTTCTAGCATCAAGCTGACATTATGCTGTTGCAAGTGATCAGCTCTGCTGAAACATAGGCAGCATAATGAAAATCATCCTTCCATCCCCATCTGCACACGCTTAGAAATAAATATAAAGTGACCTTGTAAAGAGTCGTTTCTCTTTAAACATTGCCATTGAATTATACATAACTAAAGTAAGATTAAGATCAAAAATGTAAGAAATATTGACAAGGATATTCATATTTGTACCCCCCATATCCAATGGCAGAAGCCACAGAAAATGTAAAAACAGGAACAGTATAATTTTCTGAATGGAGAGACCTGATAACAGACCATGCAGAATAATACTACATGCCAGAGTCAGCCTATACTCTGGATTGCATTTCTCATGGCTACATGATACACTGCCACTAAAGAGAACATAAACTATAATCACATGTGTAGAATAATTATTAAATGCTTCACTCATATTCCAATAAGATTATTTCCAATACGATTTCCAAAATAAAGATTGCAATTATATTTTATAACACAAATTTAAACATCTTAATCACATAGAGAAATTGATTCACTTAATCTTAGATGTACAAAACTGATGATAAAGTTATATACGGAAATGTACTAACTGAACAAAAGCAGCAAAGGGAACACATCTAGATATTGGAGATGATGTTTTTTACATTTACTCCATTAGTCCTTATTCTTGATGTACTAGTGGAAAAAGGAACTTCCAAATGAAGGACTGGTATGCATATCATCACAGCATTAAGAAAGTTGACACATCAAAAATAAACCCTCTCAATGCTTAATTTGGTTCTTTAATACACAAAGTATAAAAATTAAACCACCAAAATTAGCATCTGATGTCCCTAGTAGTGGAGAATAAACATCAACAATTAAAAAAAACAGTATGCAAAAGAAATCTATATTTCATATAAATAGTACTCATGTGTAACATTGTAAAATTAAACAGAAAATAAATTCATGATTTATGTATACTCCAATATTCAAAAATGCCAACCACCTTCAATCAGCTCAATATGTGCCAATTCCACAAAACATAGTGAACGTTATTTCCACCCTTTGGTCAAATTCTAACTTGTAAGGGAGGAGGAAGCAGTTAGGAGAAGTAACAAAACTCTCATGATTGAGGTAACAATGGTGGCCCAAGCAGCCTACTGACATATGTGGCTCCTCGTACCAAAATATGAACACTTTGCGGGTTTAGTTGGTTTTTGAGAGTCCTATTGCTCTACTATGGAGGAAGATGAAGACATAATATCACTTGCATAAGACATTCTATTTTTCATAGTATAATATCACAGCTGGCTCGAGGTTCAATCACAAACTGTTTTTCTTGTGTGTTTGTCTGGGTATTGAAAGCTCTTCTAGTTTACAATTCCACCACCAGTGTAAGTGGTAACACCACAAGCAACAGGTCAAAAGCACCTCAAATGGACTAAATACTTGACATACAGATTAAAAAAAATCACCTTACACACAAAACAAGCAAACCACTATACACACAACCTAATGGAACCACATACATATACATATATATTGAAATGCAGTTTTAGTATATTGATCAGTCTCTTTAAATTTAACTATGTATGAACCAAAAATAGGTGGGAATACAGAATATGGGGTTCTCTCTCCTAACAGTGCAAATTAAAACATATATACAGTTCTTACAAAAAATTAAGATAAAAAACTTAGTACTATATAATTCCAAATAAATACTGCATTCTGAAAAGAAAAGGTGTTCACAATTCATTTTCATAATATGTACATATACTGACTCAAGTTTATTACATAAAAGTACTATGCCAGAAACATCCATTTCTATCAGTTCCAGAACAATAAATTTATATGCCAATATCAGACTGGAAAGATGAAGTTACATATTGAAGTACATGACAACCATGATCAAGAAGGCTACAGCAATGTAACAATCTCTACTGGACAACACACTGACTTGGTTTTCCTGAGATTGGACTTGCAATAAAACTCAAAATCAAGACTCAGAGGAAGCATGATCTTTATCCTGATGGAGAACTACACTGCGTCCTGATGTTGCAGCAGTAGCCGCTGCCAGATTCACCCCTCCGCTCCCACTCACCAGCTTCAATGGGATTGACTGATTGCCTCCACCATTCTTTGACTGCAACTGGATTTGGCTAATTACCTGAAGAAAGTTCCAAGTTATCCAGAATGGACATACATCCATACTTAATACAGAACAAAACATCACACTGTATCTTCAAACTTGAACTTACCTGAGGACTTAATACAGGAATTTGTTGGAAAGTGACAGGTCCAGTTGTCAGATATGTAATTTGAGGTGTAGCCAGCTGAACTGTACTGGGATTCGCAGCTATCCGAACATTCTGAATATTCGAAGAGACTGCTGAAAGAGTAAACAGTCATCCATATCCATGCTGAATATTCAGAAAGCTCCTAATACTGTTTCTTACTTAGTTTATTTAACTATTTTAAGGTAATGTCCTACAATTAGCTTGACAGAAGAAAACTGATAGAAACCACATAGAATATGTCAAGACAGCTGGTCTGTAGGTCAAGAACTGAACCTGAAATCATAAATAATACTCAGCTGTGATTGCTTCTTCTACTGTTAGAGCAGTTGGATTTGTAGCTTGGGTGACAGAAATAAGATGTACATACAGAATTTGTTGGATGAAAGTTCATAAAATTGCCAACTTCTTTTTGACATCCCGCTCCACACCTAAACAGGCACTTGAGGGGAGTGGAGGTATTACTCCTACTCACTTGACCTCGGCACTAGATAGGGGCGAGTGGTCAGCACCACACCCCTGCCACGCTTTACTCCTGGGAAAGACACTGGTACCCATTAGACACGAGGCTGGGTGGGCCCAAGAAACAGTCTGGATGCAGAGGCTACAGGAAAAATCCTCTGCCCCATCGGGGATCAAACTCCAGTTATCCAGCCCATAGCTAGTCACTATACTGACTGAGCTATCCCAGCTCATATAAAATAGCCACCTACAAGACCAAAATAAAGAAAAAGTACAATACTAAAATTATTCTTAAAAAATATATACTATACAAACAGATTATTTTGCTAGACAAATGAGGGATGAATGGAGAGGAGGGTTGGATGGATGAAAGTTTCCATAAGTCTGATAGCAAGCATTTGCTCCACTCCAGTTGTTAAACCACTTGTTCATAGTGATGCGTGCAATGACACGACAGCAATGGTTAACACCAGCACAAGTCAGTTTAACAAAGTAATTCACAGTAAGAAAGGAGAGGGAGATCATTAATAATAATGGTATACTCTACTGATGTTTTATTAATGGCCAGTAGAATGCCTGCTGTATGACCTTGACAAGGCTGGACAGCCCAAGTGGCTGGTTTAAAGTCAGATTTTCAGTATTTCGATTAATATTCTTCATTGCTCTCTTCGTGTGAATCTAACTTTCATTTTCATGCAACATTATTAACTTACAGAATGAAAGAATGTAGCCAATATATATTATTCCCAGTCATTAATTAAAATGTAATGTTAAAAACCAAAAACATGTTAGGTGCGTACTCTTACCTGCCTCACCCATAGAATTTGTGAAGACAGAATGTTCTCCATTCTCACACTTTTATCTCTCCTAAACACAAACATTTTTGTTTGTTGTAAGATTTGAGGTTTTCACAGTGGTGAGTATGAAGATTTCTGTATTCTGGGTTGTTGCGCTGTGTAGTCTGGTCGATGTTTACCAACGTTTCTGAGGTCATACTGCCTCCGTCATCAGGGCGATGAATTGCAACAACCCAGTAGACAGAAATCATTTTTGTTTGTTCTCAAACACCGTTGCTTACTATCCTTCTTTAAAAGAGGTGACAAAAGAATCAGTCTTAACAGGAGAACTTTCATTGTATATCATGTTCTTATAGCATAAACAGACATTTATAATTTGAAATATGTCATGACTTCACAAATTGTTACCAATCAAAACTTTAACAGGAGCTGAGGTATAGTGACAGACTACAGACATGGCAATCAGGGTTCAATCCTTGACAGGGGCAGAGGATTTTTCCTCTAGCTTCTGCATCCAGACCGGCTCTAGGGTTCACCCAGCCTCTTATCCAATGGGTACTGGGGTCCTTTCCCAGGAGTTAGGCGCAGCCAGGGTGTGACACTGACCACTCACCCCTATCTAGTGCCAAAGTTAAGAATAGGCAGGAGCTATACGTCCTCTCCTCCCCAAGCGCGTACATGGCGTATAGTGGGACTTTACTTTTACTTTATGAACAATTTAATTAATCTTAAAGTACTTCTGTACTGATGCATTTCTAATACTTCAACAGTAACACATAAATGTGAAAAGCTGAGTAGTGTAAAGCACTTCATGTTTCAAATGTATATCCATACCATCTTCCAAGATTACATCCCTAGCTTATAGGACACATTTATCACAGGATACTTACCTTTTGCATTTGTTGCATTTGTTGTGCCATCTGAAATTTGGTTTACATTACTAGACGATATTCCTTTAGGGAGATCTGCCCGTAAGGAATCTGAGGTAACACCACCACGTGAACTTAAAATATTTTTAGATTCACTTGCATCACTCTGATTTGGTGTTGCACCACCTGCCAGCCCATTGGCAATGGCTACAGTCACAAGTGGCAAAGAATTTCCCCTGCCTCCCAAACGGCTGTTCTTCCTTGCTAATAAGCTGCTAATGATCTCTGCAGGATTCACATTTTGGGTGTGTTTCCGTTTCGCTCGTTTGGAGTTCATATTCCCACATGATTTTGACGACTCTGCATGCCTCTTGAGACTTCCACTCAAAATGTTTGGAACATGGAACTGTCCATTTTTAATGGTATCGCTGTTACATGTCACATTGTGATTTAAGGCAGCTTTGACTGTCACATGTTGTGGATTTGGCAACACTGTTTTAAGAGCACTAGGGACTGTAATATTGGCTGATGAACTGCGCTGAGATGGGGTGGGGAGAATTGGTACTTTGTGATTTTTATTGGATAACCCAACACCAGGAAGTATTATATTTCCACTTGGGCTGAGAAAGCTGCCCTTGGCATAAATGTTTGTAAGAACTGTTTTAATGGTTCCTGCTGCATGGTTTGTGCCTGTATTTCCATAGAAATCATTATTAAGTGGTGACCGCATTGGACCATGTGTGAGGGCTTCCCGCAGACCTTCACGAACCACTTCCAGTCTCCGTGTATTACACACCAAAGTTCCAACTTTACGTCCAGAAAATGAACACACCTGCAACAAAAGAAAATCTTGTATGATATGCCTACACAAATCAATCGTTCAGATATTATTCCAAAATCTCTACCTGATGTGGAACATGATTTTGGGTGCTGGCACCATATAGAAGGTGGGATGTATGTCATAAACAGTGTCAGCACTCAAAAGCAGTATCCATATCACAAATGAACCACTGCCAAAGATTAAAATTAGTTAAACTTCTATCCGTAAGACCTGTTTCAATATTAACCTCCTACCTATGCCTCTAGTCTCCCAATTGGTCTTTCTATAAGGCTTTCCAACCATAATGTTGGAATTTGTTTCCCTATGCACACTATACATCTAGCCCATCTCTTTCTTGTAATATTTCAAGTTCTCACAGCAATAAAGATGTTAGTGTTGGCCTTCTGGGTAGAAACACCATGTGGGCATCTCTCTTGACTTCTCACCCTAATAATACTAGATTACAGATTATGTAGCTCCTTGGTAAGAATAAAATTGTTCTATTTTCCATTATATAATACCCATACATTCCCATTAGAATTTCTTTTCAGTGCCTGTTTTACCCTTTACGGCAAAATTAGTTTTCATTAAGAAGTAAAATCCAACAAATTAAAACTCATGTGTGAACTATTAGAATGTAATGGTATGGTAATGTTGTCCCTGGTGTTTAATTAAGCATCACCTCATGAAGATATATGGGGTAGTGGTGGTATAGCTCCCCACTTTATTAACTTTGTCACTAGATGGAGAAAAACATATTCATGAATGTCTACATTTTTTGCAGTATGGGCTCCTATAGCAATAACTCAAGAACTGCACATTTTTTTAGATTCAAGGGAAAATTTTAACGGTTCTTAACCATGCACCACTATTTACACATAATTCAGCCGGCTGTATGTCACAGTACACTGTAAACCCTATGGTTACTGTCAGTCCATTAGTTTGGGGATTTAAATCCTCTGTATCTGTACAACAAAGATTAATGAAGAGTATAACATAAAACTGTCCACGTGGAAGAAAACAAAGTGTAATAAATTGTAAAGATAGAGATGAAGCTAGTTTCAAATCTGTATTAAGCCTACAATTTCATAATTATAAGTTAGATTTTTATTGTAATATGGCTACTTAATAAAAATAAGGAATTAATGTATGGCATTTAAGTAATATCTCCTATTTTAATTAATGCTTGTTTTTAATAATTGACTTCTGTCTTTGAGGTGTGCTTGTCATATTCTATCACTGTTAATTTATAACTATTTATGTGTTCTTTGCCCTCATGTTATAATGTAACATGTCACAACAGACACACCTGACACCATTCTGCACCATATATTGCACTTAAACATACTAAAACATGGTATACAAAGGGTATTTAAATTAAATGGTATGATAGCATCAGGATACAGTGAATATAAATGGCATGGTTAAGGGATAAAAAAATTATCTTTTGAAAAAAGGAATTAATTAAAGATCTTAACACTTCATTGGGATAGTAGTGTTGATCGATTTGAAAATCATACATACAACATTCTTTTAATTCATATCATAGATACTGTAATGATGGTGATGGCAATGGTTGGAGATTCTTGTAGTTATATTTTTACACTGAGAATTGATACTACTTCAAACCTGCGGCCACTTAAACACAAACTTTAGAGTTGTACGTTTTAACAGAAAAAATTACATAGCCATAAACTACGTACATTGAATGTTGTAGTCAAGTGGTTCTGATTTGCTATGAGGAGTTCCCAGGTTTGATTCTCAGCCCAGCAGCTGACCATCCTGAGACTTTCATGGTTTTCCTCAATCCCTCCAGGCAAATGTTGAGATAGTAATGCTTACAACACAACCAGTTCCTTCTGTATCTTTACCACTTCATCACTGACAACAATCCTCCCATTTGATGCTACATAACCTAAGCACCTGAGATAAAGTGTCATTAAATAAACCAAGACACAAAGTATCTAGACCACCCATGGGAAACTACAGGTCATTATTGTTCATCTTCATGTAAACTGGGCATAAAAAATTACATCAAAGTTAAGAGAAGCTTTATATCTTACCACTAAACAACTAATGTCCAAAACATTGGCAATAGCAAAGAACAAGCATCTTCACCTACAAACACTTAATTTTACTTCAGTCGTCACATTAATACTGAACTCACAACTAGAGATGTTCTCAGCACCTTCTATAAGGTTATTACATGCAAACTTACAAGTCATAAAAATCAAGAACAGGCTTTACTGAGGCTCCTTGGCTATATTTCTCATTGTACTTGTACTGTCTGTTTTGCTTGCAGTTGACACTAGTCATTTAGAATTCATCAAATAGAGGAATTCCATTTTCAAATATGTGTATGGTGAATAATGCTTTGTTACACTTCTCTTAGCCACTGTCCATAACTCCAGCACAACACCCGCTTCCTCATTCTAATTTATAATGCATGGTTATACTTTCAGATTTTGAACTTGGGTGTCATATTTCTGTGTGTTCAGTTTCTATTAACAAATTCACTGTGGAATCACAAACGTCAGTTTAATTCTGTGAGCAAAGTGGGCATATCTGAACAGACTAACAAAAGCATTTTGGCTGGGAGGAAAAATGCTTCTATTCAATTTATATATACTTCACTTTCTAAAAGTTGAAGCTTCTGTCAGAATCAGACAATATCTGTTGCATAAATGCAACATATTTTAACATCACAAGGCAGTGGTGGATGTGAATGGGTTAATGAAAGTTAACCTTGAAAATTAATTAATATAATAATCCATATTTGATTCCTTTGGAGTAGATACTAAAATTAAAACAAGAGTTGGAGACAAGAAGGGGCACTTTGTCTAGTAAGGCAAATGCAATTAACTTGAATGCTCTGTCCTGCAGATAAGGACAACAAAAGAGAATAATTTATATCAAACAAACAAATGTAAATATACCATTTTATGTACAGACTCAAATGTGTATTATTACATGAATAAGGCAGTGACAATAACTGGATGTGACTGTAATATGTATAACTAACTCCATGGAGCAGCGCCCTTGATAAACTAACAGTATGCTCAGCTATTTAATAAATTTCCCAATTTTTATAAAACCTGAAGGCTAATTACTGCGTTAAAAAGCCCCGCTCTGGTTTGTCTTGAGCAAAAAAGAAACAAAGCAATTTTCAAAGCAGTTGGTGATATTAAATAACATTTAAATTTAATATATTTTATATACAAAGCAAATATGAAAATTACAGAAAGCCTCCATCTTGTAAAATTAAGAGAAAACAAACTGACTGTTAAAGAGGAATTAAATTAATTAGTTGCATTATATTCTGTAAGCACCAATAATTTTCTTCTTTCAGACAGCTTTATGATGTAGAGGCTTTTGCCTGGCCATAAATATTTTGGAGTTTTATATGGCCCACTGTACACAAATGAAAACAATCTTGCCAGTATAAGTAGGGCACTGTTACTCACCGCTAATGGGCGTGGATGATTCTTCAACCAAGTTACATCCTCAAAGAGCGCAGGGAAATCACACATCTGAACAGCAGATGTGAGAGTGTGCATTGATGGAAATATGTGTGTAGGAGGTGGAAGAAAAGAAGTTGCTGGTACAGGAGTAGGCGTGGATACTGCTTGTGGGGCAGAAGCTGGGGAAATAGAAGGAGTTGAAGAAGATGCTGGTAACTGAGAGGAAGGTATGGTAACTACAGTCAGATCTTTTGATGGGGAGGTAAGAGGGGCACAGTTACTATCCATGTCTGTGTTTAGAGACGTCACAGAGGTTGGAATCATGCTTGGAGATCGAGGGGACATTGGGATATTGTGTGAGATGGAACCTGTAACAGGCAATAACAGTGAAGGAAGGGATGGTATGCCAGATAGGGTAGAAACAGTGACTGTTGTTATAGGGGAAGGAGCCCGCACAGTTGTTGTGGTAGCCGTTACTAGTGGCTGTCCCATGGGTGGGCCAGGAGAATTTCCCAGTCCTGGAGAATCTCTCGCCACTGACACTGTGCTCAACAGTGGTGCTTTCAAAGCTGGGGCTGGTACCACATGACTCTCAAATGTGTCAATGGTGAGATCTGGAAGGGAAGGCAGAGGTGTGATTGCAAGAGAGCTAAGAAATGGGGTTGCAGACACAGTTGGACTTGGAACAGAAGTTACAAGTGGAGCAGAATTTGGTGTCAAGATTGAAGTAGGAGTAGACAGAGATGCAGGAAGAGGAGAAGCAGGGACGTCTAACGGCAAGCTTCCACCAACTCGCCCATGTGGAGATGGTGACAAGGCCTGGTTTGTATCCATTTCCTGAGGAGGTGACTGAAACAATGAAATAGGAGCAATTAAGTATCCAAAACTTGGGAAAATGTAGCAATAAATAGTTTATTAAACATATCAGCATGGCACAATGTGAAATATGTATGTCATAAATTCTGACAAATTTAAAATTAAATACTGTAAAATATTATTTGCCAATATATGAATATCAACCACACAGCTTCCTACGTGTATAGTTACATCAACAATGATATTACAAGTTCCTGAGATATGTTTAATAGTTCCATGTGACAACACAAATATCAAACACTTAAGCGCTTAAAGTATAAAACATGGTTATCCTTCTTGTTCATCTACATAATAAATGTGCCACCATAAGCAGCATTTTACTGCCCATTTTAGAACACTGTCTTCAAGTAAATTAAGAATTATTAATTTTACTTTTAACACATAAAAAACTGTATGATAATGACAATCCTATCTGTAGCTATTACACTCAGCAACTGTCTGAAGGAGTCACGAAATTTCAAGATACATGGAGAAAATCCATATATTCTTGGCCATTTTTAAGTTATCTCATAGAAATGCTGGGTTAGTACCTAAAACCAGAATATAAGAACAAAGAAAGAGAAACTGCAGACTTGGTTCGCATCCTGAACACAATAAATTAATAAAAGCTCAAAGGTTCAGTTTACTCAGAGTCTGGAAAGAATTGCACATGTAAATGAAATATTTAATTTGACAAAAATTATTACAGACTTTGTTATAGTAACTATCAGTGAAAAAATTCAAGTAACTTTGAGTAAGTTGTTTAACTGTTCCTATTAAACATTAAAACTATATAATGCAACAAAATATGCTGGAGCAATTAGCCACATCACTATAGTGTAATATTACATTTCAGAGACCAATCGTGCCTCTCTCATCAGGGATAAAGTGGAGTGGAGTGATCATCAAATACAGATAAGCAATCGAGCCTTTGACTCTGTACCCACTTTCCTCATTATGTGGCTACTGGTCATCAATCCACATTTATCCCTGCCTGGCAGAAAAATTCTTTGAAGTGGAGTTTTACTCTACTATGACATGGCTGATCTTCCACCAGGATCTTGCTGCAAATATTACTGTCCTATTGCCTCAATTTGAGTACAACATGGACTTTCTGTTTACAAATTTAAATCAAAATCTTTGACCAGTGTCAAAGTTATACTCCAATGTAGCAGGTACAAATTCTTGGATATCTTCATATTTTAGTTCAATCTGTAACTCTTACAAGAAATTAACACCAGAGTGTGTGTGTAATAATAAAAAAAACTAACTAACTAACTAACTAACATAATCTTTATGGTCCAACCACTAAATAAAACATATGAAATACTGAAAAACACAATTATTCATTCAATAAGTGATGCCACTATATGATTAGATCAAGTTCACATAAAAAGGAAAAATAATTTTAACTGCAAAGTATGAAACAGACACAAAAGATTAACTGATTAACTATGCTACCATTTAAAGATATACAAAATAAAATGCATACAATAAAAAATTAAACAACACTACCATATTCAATTGCATTACTTCCCTCTAAATTTGTCCCAACATAATTTGTACATTACCATAGCTTAATTTTAGAGAAATGAAAACCATGTGTCCAAGACCTCATGTAAGGAAAGCAGCAATCTATTTTGCTCTCATAACCACAAGAACTAAAGGTTGTTAAGAAGGAAGAAAAATTATAAACTACCAGCTAACTGTGGCGGTAAAAATAATACCTGCTACATAGCAGAATTTAAACAAACTATTAATTTGTTTTCAGAAAAATATAACTGGAGAAGCAGCATCATGCTGGTTTGAAAGAAACTCCTGTTATTTTTAGAAATTTACTCAATATAGAAGATTAAGGCACTACAGCCCTATAAAATATAATATAAAATTTTCCCCCCCCCCCCCCCAAAAGCATGGCACTGTAATCCAATCAAGCAATAACAACACAACAAGGAATCTTCTTGTACTGGACTATTTCATTAGCAAAAGTGTTCATGATGCAGATGTTTCTATACTTTGTGAATATGAATATGTTCATTCATACTTCCTCCTCCTTACATAGATGGAAAATCAAGACAAAATATAGTACTAGCACACTAAATTTTCTAAGACATTTTAATTAATTAGATAATATTAATGTAAATTTGAATTCACCCTAAGTTTAAAATCAAATGTGTATCACAGTCAACCAAATTGCATTAGTTTTTGTCTTGTAAAGCTATTAAGTTGTTTTATGTGGCACATGCTTATGTGGCTATAGTTGTTAAACAGATCATGTCCATACAAGCACTTTCAAACAAAGGACAAGACAAATTAGACTGAATAAATCCCAAGCTTTCCAATGGAGACACTGATTCCATTACACCAATTTGATGTTACAAAACACAGTATTTAGCTAATGCAAAAAAAATTTTAAAATCTGTGTAAACTGTAAAATATTACATCATAAATTAAAGTATTCTTTGGTAATAAGTCTCACTAGTAAGCACACAAAAGTGTTTTAATGCTTCAAATAATTCTGATCAAAAGCACTATATATGGTTACATATTTAAGAAAACAAATTATGGAGCATCAACTTTTTAAGGTACAATTATTTCATTTAATTGAAAACAGTCTTAGAATCGCAACATATCACAGCAATCAGCTTTATAAACTTATAATGTTTCATTGATCAGGTAAATTCATTCCAATAAAAGCTGAATTATACATATTCCAAAAGATCAGATGAAATATAAAATATAACTAGATGACTGTCTTCTGGGGTGCTGTGCTATGTAGTCTGGTAGAAGTATACTAACATTTCAAAGGCGCTAGGACAACGAGTTCTACCAGATTACATGCTGCAACATCCCAGAAAACAATCATCTTTGCATCTGCTGCCATGTGAGCCTGAAATCTCACAGAATATAACTGTACTGAAACACATCCAATAACATACTACAATGTATTCAAAAAGCTCAGACTAGATGCAAAATATAATACTAGAATTTGATAAACTTCATAATATAAAAGTATCTAGAAAATTACAAATATCACTGAATAGGAATACATCCAATAAAGTTAAATATCAAAGTATAATACTGAAATACTTCACACATTCAGAATATGAATTCATGTGTGATGTGATGTGTGTGTGTGACTAAAATAAACCTGTACTTCTCAACTAATTAACAACAAAACAGGAAGAAAAAATAATATAAAAATCTTCTTCACCTCACACAATTAGTTTTGTTTCAAGATCGACAAAAGAATTTTATGTTTTCTATAGATCTTTACCTGACTCAAGACCCCTGGAACTGTAGACACTGTCTTGACAAGTTTTATTGCTGCATCCTTTGCTGCCCGATGGTCTGCCAGAAGTTTATCAAAGTGTTTGCTGCGTCCTGACACTGCTCTTCTCATGGACAAGGGGTGTGATTTACAAGTTAAGGATCGTGTACAGGGCTTGCTGTTCTCCCCATTCCATACTCCACAGTGTTTATCTGGATCATATTCTCTCTCCTTTATAGGCAGACATTTCCGTTCTAATTTTGGGCGTTTCTTAGGACTGGGAGTTGAGAAAGAAGAAGAGGACATGTCCATTGCTAAACATGGAAGAGAAGGTGTTGAGGCACTAGTGGGGGTCATCAGCAATGTGCTTGATTTTGTGGTGGAAGGAGATGCATTTGACATATGAGTTGGTGAACTCAGTGGTGTAAGAGCAACTACGGGCTGCAAAAGAGCCAAGGGTGCTGATGACGATGAGCCTGAAACTTGGTTAGCTGGGCGTGTAGGAGGAACATTACTAACAGAAGATGAATGCTGTGGTACATCCATGGGTGGAAGAGTACCTTTCTCTGCATCTGACAATGTAGTCTGTTCTTCTAAACTAGTTGTTAGACGTTCTAATTTCGAACATGGTACAGTCAATGGTCTCTTTACTCTTAACTTTACACTACCTACATTGAGCCGGTTGCTAGCACCTCCTTTACTTGTTCCACTTTTACCATTACTAACTTTCTCGGAGGGTTCAGGAGGGGGTAAGGCATCTGTTGCATCCGCTTTGTGCCACAGTTCTGGAACATGACAATTTATTGTTGTTATTATTGTTGTTATCAGTATTACTAACACCACCACTATCAAGTCACAGTCAACAGAATGCAGGAACAATTTTGTTAGAAACCTTAACACAAGGCATAAGGCAGACAAAGAAAACTAAAAATCTAATAACATGTACCAGATTTTCAGTGGTAATGCAAAAACAAGTATGTATGATGTACATATGTAGTGTACATATATGTATGAGCACATATGTGTGGGGGGAGGGGGAAATAGCTCCAGAATGTTCCAGAATAGAAATATATACAATCATTCAGCAGTTACACACTTGTAGAATTGTTCAAAACATTTCTGAAGGCAAAAATTTACTATCTACTAAAAATTAAGCCCCTTATGTCAGACCCAACAGAAAAGGTATTTTCACCTGAAGGCAGGAGCACAGCCCTCTACATAAATGTAATGGCTTTACTTCTAGAATACTGAATGATGGATCAAGTGCAGAGGAACAGTAATACTGACTGGTTCTTCATGTTACATGTCTTAAACAGAATTTTTAAATTAAACTATTGATACTCACCCATATGATTAATCAGGCCCTGAGGTTTCACACAAGCCTCACATATTTCACAGACAACAGCATAAAAGGTATCTGTCTCAGGGCATAAACCAAACAACCCCATATCTGTAAAAAAATAATCAAGTATGGACATTGATAAATAGCATTCTTCAATTGTAAAATGTAAGTCTAATAAAATGCAGAATGGCTGGTTCTTGGGGTAACTGATAATATTATAATTTAATATCAATGATAGCGACAGAAGATTTGTCTGCTGCATTCCCTATTCAGAATGGTCTGGAATGAGGAAACAGTTTATAACCCTTATTTTAAACCCTGCTTTAAAATATGCCATTAGTAAGGTCCAATAAAACCAAGAGATTTGGGAACTGAATGAGATACATCACCTTCTGGTTTATGCTGATGTCAGTTTATTGAGCACAAATGCAAATGCCATAAAGAAAAACAGAATCTCTACCAGATGCTAACAAAGGTTGGTCTAGAAGTAAACTCAGAGAAAACTAAGCACATTTATGACTAATCATCAGATGACAGAAAAAAATGTGGCATGTCATTCAATATGGTCATGATATTCTATTTTCTGTGAGTGTGGTTGTGAAACATTCTACCTTCATAATTATTAAAATTACGTTAGAACATGCATTACTATTTAAAATTGCATATTTGGAATCAAACAAAAAGGAGAAGACAGTGATCTTCATACTCACCACTGTGAGACCTCAAATCCTACTAAAAAAGGAGCAGCATTGGTAAATGAACTTATAACATGATAATATATTTCTCAGAGCAGTTATTTTATTCAAAGTTTCAGTTTATTAAGTATATACTTGATGTTGCAGTTATAAAAGGAACTACAAAATGTAATTTTAAAAACGTTATATGCATAGTTTTTGTATATGTTATCTTGGGTAAATGGGGTTGATTATAGCGGAGTTTCTTTTTTAGTAACAGGTGAAGTCTGAAAATGTTAAAATAAAATTGATGTGTGACAGGAGAGATATATTTAAAATACTAGAGCAGGGCGCTCCTTTCGGAGCTCCTAGGGGGGGTTGGTCAAGTTTGTAAAACGCAACCAACCTTGGTTAGTCCCGAAGAGGTGTTAGTTTAGTGTCTCATTCAAGTGTTTTAACCACAGAGTAAGAAACTAAATTAACCACAACGAATGGGGTGTTTAAACACTTGACCAACCTCCCGAAGTGGTTTGGTTGTGTTTTAAAATCTTAGGTAAGACATTAAACTAACACCCGTGTATAAACAAATATAAGGTGATATTGTTGATGACGTCATTTTTTGACGACAACGATGGCTAATCTTTTCGGAGCGCTTCCTGTAATCTGATATTTTACTTCTTTACGTCGCTGATCAGAGGCCAACAGTTCTTGGTTAGTCAACTTTCTACGTCCAACCCCACCCTTGCAAGTCTTCTT